GCCATACAGACACTTCAACATATATATCATTAATTGGAGTTCAATACTTTTGTATGGTTCTTTCTTTTCCCCCAGTACTGGGGATTGAACCTAGGGCCTCATGCATGCCAGGTAAGTGCTCTACCACAGAGCAACAACCCAGGTCTGGTTGGTTTTTTTTTTCCTTTTTCTAAAGACAGGATCTTGGTATGTTGCCCAGGCTGGTCTTGAACTCCTGGGCTCAACTGATCCTCCTGCCTCAGCCTCTCAAGTACCTAGGACTATAGATGTGCACCACTTTGTCCGACCAATTCTTTATCTGAGGGGGAAAAATATATATATATTATTAATATATATAATATATATATATTAAAATGCACTGTGATCATTCATCATGATATGTCAATTTGATTTGAGTAAACTGCATAGCAGATTAGTCAATTCCAGTTGTGTCTGTGGATGACTGACATGTAGGCCAACAAACTGAGGAGGAAAACCCACCCCACATGAGGATGGCACCAACCAGTAGGCTTGTAGTTTGGACAGAATAAAAGGGGAGCAAAGAGGTCGTGTTTCCCTTTTCTTTTTCTTTTTTTTGTTTTGGTCCCAGGGATTGAACACAGGACCTTGTGCTTTCACAGTAGGCAGCAGAACCGCTGAGCTAAATCCTTGGCCAGTGTTTCCCTTTTCTTAGTGGTTTAGCCGCCGCCTGCCTCGCAAGCACAAGGTCCCAAATTCTATCCCCCGGACCAAAAAAAAAAAAGAAGAAGAAGAGCTCCAGCCTTTGACATTGGTCTGCAGTTCCTTCAGGCTTGTAAATTCAGGTTTTCCCACACTGGAGATTCTAGGCTTTTGACAGTGCACAGATTGCCATTTTGGATTCTTCTACCTCTGATCCCCTAAGCCAACTAAATAGATCCCTTTGTGTAATTATACATATATTTTATATTGATTCTATTCTTCTACAGAACCCTAACTAATACATGCCCAAATCTCAAGTACATCATTTGTTGAATTTTGACAAGTACATATACTTGTATATTCAACCATATCAAGGTAGAGAATATTTCCATCACTCCTGAAAGTTTCCCTGTTGGCTTCTCAGCATGCTGTCTGGATTTCTTTCTACCATAACTGTTTTGCCTGTTCTACAATATCATAAAAATTGAATAATGTACTCTGTACTATTTTGTGTCTAGCTTATCACTTTCATCACAGTGTTTTGGAGACTCATCCTATTGTACATATCAGTGGTTTGTTCCATTTTTATTCCTAAGTAGAGTGCCATTGTATGGATATATAATTGTTTGTTAAATCATTTGCCTCTTGATGGACACCTGGGCTATTTCTAGTTTGAGACCATTGTAAATAAAGCTGCTGTGAACATTCTCATGGAAGTTTTTGTGTGAACCTGTGTTTTCCTTTCTTTTGGGTACTTATAAGTAGAACTGCTGGGTCATAAAGTGAGAGTAAGTTTAGTTTTGTGACATTGCTCGATCCATTTTATTCTCCCACTAACAAAGGATGTTCTCTACCACCGAGTTCTCAGCTCCAAGCACAGTGGGGTTGTCACCTCCTCAGTTCAGGGTGCCACACCTTGGAGAGCATCCCTGACAGTCATAGTGACAGTGCTGGTGGCAGTTGCCCTGAAAATCACCTGGACACCTCAGGCTGTTCCTCATGGACAGGCGAATGGATGGATGCCCAGCCAGTGCTCCTGGACTCTGAACTTTCATACTTGCTTTGTTGGAAGCTGAATGTCAGCTTTTCCATTTGTCCTCAGTAAATCCCATCTTACTGGTTTTGAGTTAACCCTCCAGGCCTCCAGGCAGTCCTGATAACCATGAAACCAGTACACTGACACACATGTGCCATTCACCAAACCCTGAGCTAACTTAGAAGAGCCCTGTGATGGAGCTGTTATTATCCCCCCTTCAGAGGAGAGGAAACGGAGACACGGAGAGATTAAGTAACTCGTCCAAGCTGACCTAGTCGTAAATGGCAGAGCTGGGAATAGAATTTATGTATTTTGGCTCCAGACCTCATGGTCTTAACCATTTAGTTTTTTTGTCTTTGGTTTCTGATGTCATCTCCCTTCATCTTCCAGTTTCTAAAAACACACTGAGTAAGCCAGTAGGTCTTCATCTCAATCACTGGTTAAACAGTAACAAAAACAAATGAAAACCTGTGGACCACCCAGTTCAAGGCCAAAGACAGCACCTGATGTCATGCTTCTAAATACTTCCTCTTGTGCTGGCCTTGTTTTATTTTATTTATTTATTTATTTTGAGAAAGGTTTTTTTTTGGGGGGGGTAACGGGGATTGAATTTGGGTCCTTGCACCTGCACAGCAGGCGGCGAAACCACTGAACTAAATTCCTGGCCCTTGAGACAGGGTTTTGCTGTGTAGTTCAGACTGGCCTTGAATTCACTGGGTAGCTCTGGCTAGCCTCCAACTCACAGAGATCCTCCTGCCTCAGCTTGCCAAGGACTGAGATTACTGGTGTGCACCACCACATCTGGCTCTTGTTCTATTTGTTCACAACCTGACAGTGGTTATGTTACTGGCTTCAAGTTCACAGAACTGGGATCTGGCTGTGGCTCTTCACCATGGTCTCAGCACAGCATCCTTCAGATCTCTTGAAAATGCCTGGAAATATTTTGCGTCAGAATTGCCTACCCTTCCCGCTAACATGGCTCTTGTTGAGGTCATCAGTGGCCTCCATTGCTCAATCCAGTGTCAGTGTCCCCGCCTCATCTTCCCGACAGAAGCGAGGGACTCAGTGGATCCCCTTCCTCCTTGGTGTTGTCTCCTCACTTGGTCAGCAGATCAGATCCCATACTCTCCTGCTTTTCCTCTACCTTTCCGGATGCTTCTCCTCAGTGTTCCTTCTTGTTTCTCCCCTCTGTCATTACTGAGGGGGCCTCAGGGCTCCATTCATGGCCTTTGACCCACCACCTTTGCTGGTGACCTCCCCTCTTCCCCATGTGTATCTCTAACCCAGGACTTTCTGTCTGCCTCCCAATGATGCCTTACTGACCCCCCCTTATTGAGAACTGAACCTGGGGGCATGCTGCCACTGAGCTATACCCCCAACCCTTTCATTTTTAAAAAAATTTTGAGACAGAGTTTTACTAAATTGCCCAGACTGGGCTCAAACTTTCAACTCTCCTGTCTCAGCCTCCCAGAGTGCTGGAATTACAGGCATGTACCATCGTGGCTGGCCAGAGGATCCTATAAAACCATAAATCAAGCCAGGTGTGGTGGCACAAGCCTGTGATTCCAGCATTCAGGAGGCTGAGGCAGGAGGATCGCCATGCTTGGGCTATACAGTGAATTCAAGGCCAGCCTGAACTATACATCCAGGCCTTGTCTAAAACACCCCCCCCCCCCAATCCATAAATCAGATCAAGCTAGCTGCCTGCCCCCAAATTTTGGTGGCTCCTTATGTCAGGAAAAGCCACAGTCCTTAGAATGTCCACAAGGGGCCATTTCCTCTGCGCCCTACTGCCCCTCTGCTGTCACATACAGCCTTTCCTTTGTCCCTTGAACATGCCCACTACACGCCCACCTACCTCAGGGCTTTTGCACTGGCTCTTTCCTCCCTGGAACTCTCCCCTGACAGATATTTACATCACTTATTTATTGTGTTTATTTTTACTCCTCTCTTCCTAACCCTACTGGCAGCATTGTTCAGAAAGGTAAATATTTTTGTCTGACTTGTTTCTTGATATGGTTCGCCTAGAATAGTGCGTGCTACGTGTAGGGGCTCAATAAATATTTGAATGAATAAAAGAAAGAAGGAAGTATGATAATTTGAGAAGGAATCGCCAATCTAAAAATTAAAGCCCAGAAAATGTGGACGTCTGGTAAGGCGAGCGTTGAGCAGCAGTCGCCCCCTCTACTGGCTGACTTCCTACTTTCCTTTGGGATTTGTCCCCGCCCACTATTAGCGCGCATGCGGCCTGGGGCGGAGCTCACTCCCCACTCCATGGAGGCAGTGACTGTTCTGACTGTATTAGTTTGTTCAGGGCTGAGCTGGGAGACAGAGTCCTGGGACTTTTGCTCCCCCTGTCCGGATGGGAAAGGCATTTTCCCTCAAAGAGGGACATGAGCTCGTGCTGCCTTAGCCACTGGATGCTCTGTGGAAAGAGCCTGCCTGGAAAAGACGTCAGTGCCGAGGCATACTGGGCTACAGCTGTGGAGGAAGCCTAAATGGAGAGCCTGGCACTATGGCGTGAAGCTGGATCAGTTCCTGGCCTTGACTTTCCATTTACATGAGCCCTTTTCCACCCAGGTAGTTTTGAGTTGTGCGTCTGTCACTTGCAGTCATTTACAACGTGCCCAGCGTGGTGGAATGCACCTGTAATCCCAGCACTCAAAAGGCTGAGGCAGGAGGATTGCCTTGAGTTCGAGGCCAGCCTGCAGTACAAAGAAAGACCTTATCTCAAAAACAAACAAACAAACAAACAAACATTTACAATGTACATCCCTGAGCTCCTGGACTGGGCAGGTAGTAAGGCATGGTAGGGCCTGTAGGGATGTATGGGGTGAGCGGCCCTGGGGTAGAGGGGTTGGGTATATGGAGGGCACTTACCAGTGCTGGATGAAGGAGGACATACATTTTAGTCACTTATTTGTCACTGGAACAGAATACCTGACACCTGAAACTTAACGAAAGGTTTATTTTGGGTCCCAGTTCCCAGTGGGTTTAGTCCATGTTTGTCGCCCAGCTCTGAGATAGAAACAGGCTGTCGGAGGATAGACAGCTAGGTGCTCACGCCATGGCCAACAGGAAACAAAGAGAAGGGAGGAGCATGGGAGTCACACCCACAGTGACCCATCTGTTTTGACCAAGCCCATCTTCACCTTTATTCTTTTTTTTTTTTTTCTGGTACCGGGGATCGAACTCCGGTGCAACTGAGCTAAACCCCCAGCCCTTCATCTTCACCTTTAGCTGTGAGCTTGAACTTAGCAGTGATTAGCCCTCATGATCCAATCATCTTCCACACACATGAGACTTTCAGCAGACATTTTAGATCCAAACCATAATGGAATGAAAACAGATTTGTCTTGGCCCTGGCAGGAGGGCCTCTCAGACCTTCAGGGGAGGATGGAGACACTAATTTAAGCAAGCTAAGCTAAGATGGAGCCTTCCCAAGATTGACGTGGGAAGTAGGATGGGAGATTCCCTCACCCTCAGAGTGCGAGCTGTTCCCGGGCCCCAGTGCAGGTGTAAGAGCCCAGTTAATACAAAGGAAGTGGAGTCGGGGCTCTGCCACATATTGGCAGAGAGCTGTGGGGCGAGTCATAACTTTCAGGGAGCAACAGTTTCCTGAAAGGTGAAATGGGATGAATGACGGCCCCTCGTGGGTTGCTGTGAGGATGGAATGGGATAATGTGTGCCAAGCTGAGCTGGGCCCCAGGCTTCATCGAAGTCTGTTGTAATGTCCAGGAGTTCCCGCCCGGACAGCCTGGAGGTGCAGTTCCTGTAGCTACCAGAAGGTGGAGCCAAGACCCCAAAAGAGCCTCAATGCCCGACTCTTCGCAGGGCTCTCCGAGGGTTTGGCGGGGTGGCTTCCGGATCTCGTCCAGTTAGACCCCTAAGGTCCCGGCTGGAGGGCAGGGGGGCAAAGTTCCTGCACATCCCTCAATTCTCAGAGGCCGCTGGGTTAGGGAAGAGGGGCCCTCAGTCGCCATGGGGGTGTTGGGGGAGCCCTCATTTTCTCTCGGTGTTGTGTAAGAGCATGGCCTCCGAAGACAGCCTGGGCAAGCTGAGGAAGCACACAGGTTGGACCACACACAGGACTTCCAGAAAGAGCAAGCATCACGACACGGAGGATGGTGATAGACGTCTGCGGCTGGACCTCGGGCAGGCGGATGTCCCACACGACCTCCTTCGTCTCCCTTTCTCAGTGCGAGCAAGAGGGGGTGGCCCTTGCCCACGACTTCCGGGGGGGCTCGGACGGGTGGCTTGACGCTCCGGTAATTCTCGATTCGGCCAGCAGAGGGCGGCAGAGAGCCGCGCGCCCCGGAACCTTGCGGCTCAGCGTATCCTGCCCGGGCAAGACCCGCCGTACTAGGGTCCCTTCGCTTTGGAAAAAGGCTTGCGCTTCTCCCCCCTGCCGAGCTTCCTGAGGGGAGCGCATGAAATGAGAAGACGGTCAGCCCCAATCCTAACTCTGCCCTAACCCGGCTTAGCCCCGTCCTCCCTGGATCTCAGTAGGGGGGTGGGACCTGCTGGCCACTCTGGTGCTAGCAGCTCTGAGTTCCTGGGACAGCGTGGCGGGACCTCCCCGAGGGTAGGGAGGAGGGGTCGAGGGTCCTCCCTCTGGCCCCCCATCACCCAGGCCTGCGTGGCCAGCTGGACCTCAGGAAGCAGGGGGTGCTCACCCCATAGCGCCCTGGCCGTTCCCGGCATGCTCCTGGACAGGCTCCCGGAGACCCACAAAGGCCCTCAGATGAAGTTCTGGGCCATGCACTGCTGTGCCCTGGGCCGGCGGCCTGCTGGCTCTGGGCACTGCAAGTTCCTGGCACTCCCCGCGGGGCTTTGTCACCGGCCTGACCAGTGCTGGCCGTGTGCTTGCGGCGGGGGGGGGGGGGGCGGTAGGGGCTGGGTCTGCCCTGGCCTTGATGTTCCGGGTGACGGGCAGCCCCTCCCTCGCACTTGTCGGCCCTCACCCCAGGGGCTGTCCAAGGGGAATGGTTGCTCCTCCTCCCACTCCTAGCTGACACAGATGTCAGAGGTAGTGTCCTCATTTGTCACAGGTAGGTTCCAAGGAGTCACCTGGCCTCTGTGGCTCCAACAGCATGGGCTCCTGTGGTCCTGTCGAGGGATCACCTGGCCTGTTTGGGATCTGCCCTTGACTCCTCACTCATTCATCGGTTCATCCCCTTTTGGTCCCTACTGTACACTGGCCTTGGGCTCAGGCTGATCTGGGGACTCTGAGAGGAGCAAGAGGTCCTCTGTGACAGTGCTGTGGTGGGGAGGCCCTGCCCTGTGCGAGCCTGGAGGGTGCTTGCCGTGGGGCCTCTCCACCACCTGCCGAAGTAGGCCCCTTTCTAGTATCTGAGTTACCACTGTTCTTATCTGCTGATGGGGTCCTGCCTACTCTGCGGCAGGCACTGTTTTAGCCCTTAAGGGTTACAGGAGTGAAAGAGCAAAATCCTTTGTGGAGCCCATGGCCTAGTGATGGTCGTGATGGTAGGCAGCCAGACAACCAGAAAAAACAAGGAAATAGTAATATATCAACAACATTATGGCCAGATGTGGTAGTGCACCCCTGTAACTCCACTCTGGGAGGCTGAGGCAGGAGGTGCTCAAGCCCAGCCTGGGCAATTTAATAACTGTTATGGCTTGTGTCTAGATGTCACCACAAAGCCTCATGCAGTCATAGATGGGGCTTTTTCAGAGGTGGTTGGATCTAGAGTGTGTGATGCTGGGATAGATTCATGGTGCTCAAGGGCACTAGGATTAAGGGTGTGAGTGCTACCTGCCCTAAGTAGCCTGGATAAAATATAAGGGACAGAAAGAGCTGTGGTTGTTCTTTGTTGCTTTGCTGCCTTCTGCCTGCCATGAACTGTTTCTCATGCCACTCTGCCTTGGAGCCAGCCGATTATGAACTGAAACCACTACCAAACTGAGCTAAATAAACCCTTTCCCCCATAACTTTGGGTGTTGAGTATTTTGTCTCAGCAATGAGAGAAAAGTAACTAACAGCAACTTAGTGAGACCCTGTTTCAAAACAAAAAAATTTTAAAAGGCCATGTAGCTCTATGTGAAGCCCCTAGATTCAACCTCTATTACTGGAAAAACAAATACACACATGCTGACACACACACACACACACACACACACACACGCACACGCACACACACACTTTTGGAGGAAAAGAAAGCAGGAAAATGGGAAGTGAGAGTGGGACAGTGGTATTTTGGGGAGTGTCAGGGAGAGAGACCTGGAGGGGGTGGGGGGCAGGCCATGCAGACACCTGGGGGAGGAGGGCTTCAGGCAGAGGAGACTCAGCCAGTACAGAGGCCCTGTGGTGGGAGTGTGCTGGGGTGTGGGAGGGGCAGGATGTCAGAGGGCTGCAGAGGAGTAGGGTTGGGGAGGGGTTGGGGCCAGACTGTACAGGACTTAAAGGCGAAAAGACCCAGCAACTCAAGAACCATTGAAGGATTCTGAGCAGGGAGAGCAGCGATCAGCTTCCATTTCATGGGATCCCTTTGGCTGCTGCGCTGGCAGTGGGGGGGAGCAGGGGGTGGGTGGAAGCAGAGACCCAATTAGGCGGTGACAGTGATGGTTCAGGTGGCTCTGCCAGGACCAGGACGGTGGTAGCAGAGCTGTCCAGGGCTTGGATGTGGGATGTGAGAAAGGGAGGTGAAGACAGCACCAGGCTTTGGGCCTGGGCCAATGGGAGGACAGACCAGACCCGAAGAGGAGCTCAGGGTGCCTGGGCTCAGGCAGGGCCTGGTGGGCCCTGGGGCCTCCGGGTCTCACCTTGGGGAGGTTGCTGAGGGCCATCAGGGGAGTGCAGAAGACAGAGCCCTGGGGCATTTGCACTTTTGGGTGGGGCTAGAAAAGGAAGAGCAGGAGGTCCAGCCAGGGAGGCCAAAGGGAGTCTCTTACTGAAAGGCAGAGAGTGTCCCAAGGAGGGGGTGACCATCTGAGGAGGGGGCCAAAAGGGGTTTGGGGGTGTGGCAGCCACTGAGGACCCCGCCACTGCCAGCCCATCTAGCACCTTGCACACATCTCAAACACACCTTAGTCAGTGTGGCTGTTCCAGGCGGCCCTGGCTGTGCAGGGACACAGAGACAGACACTCTGGTGTAAAGAGAAAGATGTCTCTGCCCTGGCAGCTGCAGCTTTGTACCAGGGCACACAGCATGGTGACAGGAAAGCAGGCTGGGGTTCAGCTTCCTTTCCACCCTCAGTGCAGCCCAGGCGCCTTTGTGCAGTGCCCAAGGGAAGGGGGTGAGGGGAGGGGGAGGGGTCCTAGAACATCTGGAGAGGGCCATGGACAGGGAAGGTGCTGGGGTTGGGGGTCTGGATCCCTGAGGAGCCCTCACCAGCACTCCTCCTGGCCCTCCCTCTTCTCTGGATGCGAGGAATTTAGGGGCCCTGAGCCAAGTCTCTGCTGGGGCCAGATGAGCTCCCCAGTGGGCAGGTATTGGGCCCAGCCTCTTCTCCCCCCTGGACACCTGGCCTACTCGCTGAGGGTGGGCACGAGCAGGCAGGAGGTGTCTGGCAGGGCCTCAGGGAGGCAGAGGCTGTGGCAGGCTGGCAGCTGCTCCCCTGCTCCTGCCCAGGGTGCTGACCACTCCCAGTATAGCCGGGCCACCCATACCTCTCTGTGTTCTCCCCTGGAGCCCTGGCTGGGCAGTGTGCAATGGGGGAGACCCTTTGGTGTGTGCCCATGTGGTTCTGGGGTCTTCTGTCCCACTTCCAGTGCCTGCTTCCTGAGAGCCCAGAGGTGAGTAGGTGGGTTGGAGAGGGAGAAGTGGAGGAGCTGCTGGCCCCGCTCCTTGGAGGGCTGGGAGCACAGGGCTTTGGCTGCTGGGTAGGGGATGTGATCCTGCCCTTTCAAGGGGTGAGGGTAGCTGTGAGGAGTGATGGCCATGCTCCCTGCTCCTGTGCCCAGCACACCCAAGGCCCTTGCCTTCGGAACCCAGGTGGCCTAGAGACATGAGCTTGTCCACTGGACAAGAGGTGACACTGAGGTCAGGGAGTGGCACAGCTGCCCACGGCCACAGGGCCAGGCAGAGCAGAGTCTGGGCTGGGACCCCACTCCTGGCCTTTATGACAGGCTCCTGGAGTTGTGAAGGACAGGAGCATTTTCAGGGAGCCTCAGTTCTGGTACCAGCTTGGCCCAGATTTGATGAGGAGCGCGTGTCTTTTTCTCCCTCCATCTCGTCCATTTTCTCCTTCCCATAACCATCGGGTTGGGGGCCCAGAGTCTGTCAGGTGACCAGAAGGGAGTAACCCACTTGCTGAATAAATCACCATGACAACTGGAATCACCATGGCCCGAGGAGCACCCCATGTGCCAGGTCTCGTGTGGGTGGGCACTGAACACATCCTTTTGTCCCCACCGGAGCCCCACAGGACAGAGCTGTTACCATCCTCTTGGGGCAGGTGAGCAAATGGAAACCCAGAAGTGTCCCACTGTGACCTGGGTGTGAGGCCTGTTGCTGCTGGTCCTCAGGCCTTGGCTGTAGGGTAGCAGGAAGCCATGCCCCTCTGTGCCCTTCAGGCAGACCCTAGCCCTGCCCAGGGAGTGGCCCCCTGGTTTCTGGGCTGGTACATGTCAGGCTTGGATGGGCAGTGAGGAGTGTGGTCTGAGTGCTCTCTCAACTGCCCTGCAGCTCCACGGGCTCAGACCTCCCTAGCCCTTGAGCAGATGACTTATGTATGCTCTTGGAGTTTCTGGTTCTTTATCTGTAAAATTGGCTGTAGGATTGTTTGGAGGATCAAATATGGCCCATGAGAAGCACTCAGTGTGGACTCTGGCCTTCAGTAGATGCACACTTAAAAGCAGAGGGTGCCTCATAGTTGATGAAACCCTAGCTCCAGCTATAGCCCAGTTTGAGGCTGGGAGACTAATCACAACTCAGATGGCACCCTGAGTAGGTCACACATCCTTCACAGGTCAGCCAATCCTGCTTGTGTTTCCTAAAAAGAGAATCCTCAAGTGTGTGTGTGTGTGTGTGTGTGTGTGTGTGTGTGTCTCTAAAGCAGATCAGAGAAGAAGAGGCATTTAAGGAGGGATTTGAGGACCTAACAGGAATTCACTGAGGATAGCAGGATCAGGACCCCAGCAGGCAGAGGGTGGAACAGGATCTGAGGAGGAGCTGGGTATGGTGAAAGCCCCTGAGGGCTAGAGTGGGAGAGAAGTGGAAAGCAGTCTCCCGGGGCTGGGCCTGACTGACCTGATTTCCCCCCTCTCAGGCTCTTGAGTCCTCCTCCAGCCTCGGTGTCCTTAGACAGACGGCTAGGACTGAGGTAGGGAGGGTTCTACCTCTCTGGGAAGTGGGATCTTGTTTTGCAAGGTCCCCACAGCCGGGAAGTTCTTCTTAGTGTCTAGCCCAAGTTCAGTGTGGTCAACCCTCTTTCGAGCTAGAGCCCTGGACCCAGGGGAGGGCTTCAAGGTCATGACCAGCCCTGGGGGAGGGAGCTGAGGTCGTGCCTTCGGAAGTGGTTCCACGGCCCCCAGTACTCTTTCTGCCCCTTATCTTTTAGCTACCTGGGTGGCCTTTCCTGACCTGGCGCTGGGATGCGCGGTGTCCTCGGTTGGACCCACTGCTTCCCTCCTCGCTCCTGGCTCAGGGTCTCTTTCTTCTCTCCTGCCCTGTCCAGCTTGGTTCCCATCTCCCCTCCTTTCTGAGACCCCACCTTGCCCTACACTTCTACTCCTCCCCTGCCCTGATGTCCAGGGTGGCAGTGTGTTTTGGGGTGTGTGTGTTGGGGGCTGGAGGGCAGGAGTCAGAAGACCCAGGTACCGCCGGAAGAGGAGAAGGGCCGTCCCCTTCACCTGGAGTGGGCTGGGGCTGGGGCTGGGGCTGGGTCTGGGCCCCGCCGCGGGGCGGTGGGTGGGTCTCCCGGGGTTCGCAGGCGGGGCCGGGAAGGGGCGGGTCCTCTCGGCGCGTCCCTCCCCCACGTTCTTAAAGGGCCCAGCTTGGGTCCGGGCAGGACAGGACTGGCGGCGCCCCCCGGCGGGGCCGGAGTCCAAGGTTGAGCGCTCGGGGGCCCAGGAGCCGCGGGGGACCTGCGGGGTGGCCGCTGTGCCCTCCTTCCGAGCGCCCGAAGTCCCCCGCTCCTCCCCGGCCTTCCTGCTCCTCCTCCCTCCCCTCTGCCTCGTTCCCTCCCTCCCTCCTGCCGTCCGTCCCCCTCCTGCTCAGCTCCTCCACTGCCGCGGCTCCGCCACCTGAAGGGACAGACGCGGGCCGGGGCCGGGACAGGCGGCGGCGGGGAGGGACGGCCAGTCCAGCGGCGGCCTCCGCATGGCCCCGCCGTGAGACACCGGACCCAGCGGCGGGGACTGGGAGCGGTGAGTGGGGCGCGGGCCGCCGGGTCCCCAGAGCCAGCGCGCTCCGGGACCCCGCCCCTCCTCTCCCGAGGCCAGGCTGGGGACGGGCAGGGGTCCCCGCTGTGGGCAGAGGGACTCATGCAGGGTTGCAAGGAGCCGCCCTCCGCCCTCTGTGCCCGCTGGGGTCTGCTAACAAAGCTACATTTTGAGATCAATTCTGCGGTGGCTGGAGCATCCGAAGGATACGGTTGTCATGGAGATGGGGCCGAGAGAGGAAGCCTGAGATGGCCGGGTCTGGGCCAGGGAGTGCGGGCACTGCAAAGAGCCCAACCCAGCCCCCAGGGAAGGTCAGGGCTGGCCAGCCCAATTGTCTCCGGGGCTCTGCCTCCGGATCCCCCTCCCCCTATTGTATAACCTGAGTGTAAATGTGTGCGGTGACAGAGTGCCAGTGGCAGTTTGGTGGCCCATGCTCTGGGTGTTGGGTGCTGGGGCCTTGCCAGCAGCCACCTTCACCACAGAGCAGCTTTGAGGATTTATTTCTGTTTCCAGTTTCCCAACTTTGACAGCCGGGCTTGGTGGCCTGGCCTCCCTGGCTGGCTGGCTCCACCGCTAGAGCAGGGGCTAGCGTGGGGGCGTGGCAGGCAGCAGGCAAGGCCGGGAGACACATAATGGCTGTGGCGGCAGCAGGAAGGGAGGGGGCCTTGGAGCAGGCTGCTGGGGCTGGGTGGGTCAGGGAGTCCAGATGTGGGGCCCACCTTGACCAGTTGGCCTCCTCCTAGGAGGTGGTATCCAGACTTCTGCTGTCACTGGAGAATCTGAGGGCTCCCTGGAATGAGAATTGGGGGCATTGTTTCTGAATGGGCCTGGGGAGACACTGTCCAATGCCCACCCCTTTGTCTCGGGGCCATCTTGTGGGGTGCAGGAAGAGAACTGGGGGCAGATGTAGCAGTCACAATGAAACAAGGTCCAAGACTCCAGGCAGGCTCAGGACCAGGAAGAGGGACCAGTTTGGCCAGCACAGGTGGGCAGCTGGGTCTGAGGGGAGGTGTGCTTGGATTCTCCTGGGTTCCCTAGCTCCTTCCAGACCCTGGAGATAAGAGCTGTTTAATACAGTCACTTGGGCAGCTTACAGGACAGGGACTGAGGTGCTTTGACCACTTTCAAGGCCAACCCCTGGCCCTGGGCAGATACAGTCCTTCAATTCCCTCTCCTGGGAGGTTAGGGCCCAATCTCAGGGAAGCCATGAGTTCTGTGACCTGGGTTCTCTGAATCAGTAACATGGCCACCACCCCTTTCGGGCCCATCCCATAACTGTAGAGGAGAAATCTGTCCTCCTGAAGCCCCTTTCTCCTGCTGAGTGGTAGAGACAGTGATTTTGAGTGGGGCTTCTGCAACGTTTTGTCCTGGTAGAACATGGCAGGCCCACAGCGTGCAGCCAGAACCCTCAGAGGGGTCCCACATGTTGAGGTGAGTGGGTGGGTGGTAGCCCAGCTAAAGGTGGAGGGGTGACGAGGATGACCTTGAAAGGCCTCCCCCAGTAGTGCCCCTGGCAGGTTGAAGTCTCAGTGTTTGGGTTATTTGTATCCTGTTGTCCCAGGGTTGCCCTGTGCCAGGCTGAGGGGCCCCTCTCTTGCTGCTTTCCAGGTTATGGGGTGCACAGTGCTCCAGAGGACCTGACCCATAGTGCCTCCGAGGTCTTTCCTGAAGGAAGGGAGAAAAGCCAGCTGGAAAGAGTGACTTCCTGCTTTTGGCAGGACTGAGAGAGAGGGGATGGGGGATGTCATCTTCCCCACTTCCGTCTACCATCTATTGAGCAGCACCACTGTACTAGGTGCTCACTCTCCCACAACCTTTAGATGGAGGCACTGCCATTCCTTCCATTTTGTGGAGAGGGTGCTAGAGCTCAGGGAGAAGTTGCTTGTTCAGTCACTTGGTTAGTAAGTGGCAGAGAAGTTAGTAAGTTCTCTCACCGGGGAGAACTTTCTGATGTTCAGACCTATGTCCCTAACCTTATCCTCTTCTTCCGGGAGATTCAGCTTAGGAGAAAAGTGGGCCTGAGTGCATCTCTCTCTGGGCCATGGGGTGATCTTGAGGAAACTGAGGCACTAAACTGGGGTCTCTGAGGGAGGTGGGACGAAAGCATTCCCATTCTGGACATTAGCTTGCAGATCTGCGCTGCCTCTCTAGACAGACAATGCTCTAGACTTCCCTTGACAGATGGTCTTTTCCAGGAAAATCTGTTTTGAGCGGCATCTTATGTCTGAGGCTCCATATTTAGCCTGGCTCCTCGAAAGGGAGGATACACTCAGGCTGTCACCCCTCAAGGGGTGTTTCGGGGGTGGGATGGGCCTGGGGCCAGACCTGGCTTCCTGCCACAGCTGGCAGAGGTGGGGAGGGGTCCAGGTCCCTGCCCTGGCCAAGAGGCGTCCTGCAGGTATCCTTTGGGCCTCTCATTTTCTTAGTCTTGGTTCCCATCTGGTGTATGCTCCCAGGGGAATCTGCTTCCTGGGCTCTGGGCCTCTTTTGGTGGTGAGCCATTCCAGGGGTGTGCCTGCCTGACCTGTGTCACTCTAGCATCCAGCCCAGGGCAGGATCATGGCCAAACCTACCTCAGCTCTCTTTGAAGCATCTTCATATACCCCTTCCTCCTGCGGCCTCACTTCTTACCTTGTCACTCTGGATAGTGCAGCAGGTACCCACCACACACCCATTATCTAGAGACCCAGATTTGCCAGTTGTTAACATGTTGCCACATTGGTTTCTCTGTCTGTCTACCTACCTACCTATCTTTGGAAAGTAAGTTGCAGACAACCAAACACTTTGCCTGGGAATACTTCAGCATGAATTTCCAGAAACAAGATGTTTTCCTGCAAAATGGCTATGCTATTACCATATCTGAGAAATTTAATGTTATGATTTTTTTTGCCGCCTGCTGCGCAAGCACAAGGACCCGAGTTCAATCCCCGTTACCAAAAAAAAACAAAACAAAACCATATAAAATGATATGATTTAACTTAATATGTTGCTCCAGTAATGCTCTGCATGGTTATTTAAACATTTTTAAATTTTGGTCAAGGAATATGCATTTTACTTGGTTATTATGTCTCTTAATCTGGATAGTCCTTTGATTTTTAAAAAAGTTTTTTTTTCATGACATTGTCTGTTTTGAAGTCTTGAAGAATATCTCATATTCTGGATTTGTCTTCTTACTTGCTCATAATTAGATTCAGGTTTAGCATCTTGGGGCAAACACATCCCATAGGTAATTCCATACACTCCCCAGTGTGTCACATCAGGAAGCACGTGCTATTAGCTTGTCCTGTAGTCGGTGGTATAAGTTAGGTTACTTGGATGAGGGGTCCCATTATTTTGATTCTGTTCCTCCCACTTCCCTACCTCTAGAAGCTTCATTCACCTGGTGAGGGTACATATTCACGCACTAGTAAAACATACTGGACCTCTACTTCAGACCGGGTGCCAGACAGTGGAGATCCTATGGAGATGGGGTGGGGAGGTCACAAGTCAAGTGGATTCTGTTGATGTGGAAGAGAGGAGGCACAGAGAAAGGAGTGAAGAGGGCATGGAGGCTGAGACAGGAATGTGGGCCACAGTTGGCCTTTCCCCAGGGGCACAGGGAGCCACTTAAGGGTTCTACAGAGAGAGTGATCCTGGCACAGTGTTCTGAGGAAGAAGGGGGATTGGTTAGGCCATCATGGCAGAAGAGAGACCAGTCAGGAGGCACTGGTGGGAGGGAATGGAGTGAGGAAACAGTTAGGGAGACAAATGGAGGGGCCTGAGTTGGGCTAGCCGAGGTCAGAGGGGCAGGAGGAGCTGCTACCAGTGGTTTGGGAAGGGTGAAGGAGGAGGCAGTGTTGAGTGCCTGAGGTCTGAGGTACCTTCCAGGTCAGAGGAAGAGTGTCTGGGAGGCTATTTCCCCCTGTGGCCCCCTCTCTCAGGAGCTCATTTTGAGTTGAGGGCCAAGGAAGACCCCACATAACACAGTGGGAATTGGTGGGGCCTTCTAGACACCAGCAGGGGAGGGACTTGAGCAGGGGTGGGGCCAGCTCAAAGGCAGATGCCTGTGTAAGTCAGGAGACTTCCTTCCTTGCAGACTCCAGCTCTTTACTTTGTTCTCCCATCTAAGTACTGACCAGGCCCGACCCTGCTTAGCTTCTGAGATCAGACGAGATTGGGAGTGTTCAGGGTAGTATGGCTGTAGACTCCTTTACTTTGTTGTGTGTCTTCATAATTGCTTGGTGAAACCCAGGCCTGGTTAAATCCAGCATCTGGCCAGCTCCAGACTGCATCTGTGCCACTGAATGTATGGGAAGCCACTACCCTGACTGTCCCACTTTAAGCCCAACCTGGGGAATTCAGATGGGCCTGGGGTGCTGTCCAGCATGCACAGCTCGGGTGTGGAGCCCATCACCTCTCCCCATGCTAATGGCTGGTTCACACTTCCTCTTCCGCCCTCAGCCCAACCTTGCCATAACCATCCACCCTTTCAGCTGATAACCTTTGAGAAAATAACCTGACTTCCCAGGCCCTCAGTGCTACACTCACCCATCTACCTAATTCTGCACCCCTGGCCCACCTTCCTCCTGCCCTGTGAGCAAAGTGTCCTGATCCTGGCTAAGGCCACTTCTCTACTTGTGTACTAGGTCTTGTCCCCATGTGCCACTTGGGGACATTGTTCCAGCAAGTCATTAGTTGCCCCTGCCTCATCGGTTCCCTTTCTCTGCCAGACTGCTTCCTCCTCTCTACCAGATGATCCCACCAGCAGGCATCTTGCTGTTGTTTTCCTGCTGTAAAATTGTTTTCTTGTCTTCTCCAGCTAGCACCTCTGCATCTCTCTGCTCCCCTTTACAGGAAAACCTCCCAGAAGCACTGTCTGGACTCACTGCCACCACACCCTTCCTCTCACTCTCTGTCTCCACTCCGATTTCGCTTTTGCCCCTGCATTGCGTTGACCTCTCTTCTCAAGGTCACCAGTGATCTCCATGCTGCTGCCCTAAAGGCCA